AGGTTTCCCGATTACTGGCCATCAAAGGTGCACGGGCGAGTGCACTTTTGGGCCTTATCACCATAACGCCGGTGATACCAGCACACTCCAGGCTGGGAATTTTTAGGCCTACGACATCTGCTGCCAGCTCGTGACGAAGATCTGCCACGAATCGAGCTGGTGCGGCTATGTGAACGACCTCTGGATCTCCTATCGAGTTTTAACTTTCCTATCTCTTCGTACAGCTTATTGAGGTGAGCCACCACATCAACGTTGGATGACCCCACGGCAGAGGAGGTCCTAGTCTGCGTGGAACTAGCGGTAACGGCAGCCGAGATATTCGTGTTTGATGTAGTAGTCTCTACTACTCTATCGGCTGCCTCAGCTAGCTCAGATAAGGGGGAATGGTTGATTGGGGCTAAAATAGTCTGAATCGTCTGGGGTAACCGTTGTAACCACAGCTGTTTCAAGAAGGCATCATCTATTTTGAAGTCGGCCACCAACTGCCTCATTTGACGTAACAGTTGGGTGGGCTTTCTATCACCTAGGTGAACATCTCGGAATAGCTCCTGCACTTTCTGTTGTTCGGTAAGTGCCACGCGCTTAATAAGCGCCTGCTTGAGACGCTCGTACAAGCCCGGGGATCGGTCCGCAAGGACATCAGATACATCTTCCATGACGTGCTCAGGAAGACTTACTATAACTAGGTTCACCTTAGTCTCCTGTGAGTGTATATTACGAAGTGCGAACATAGCCTCGATGTGTTCGAACCATCGGGCAGGATGCTGAGTCCAGAAGGTGGGGAGTTGCAAGGTAATAGCCATTTCTGAGGCGGGACTGGTGTCAGTCATTTTGCACACGGGACGATATATTAATAAAACGACAACAAATATGATAACAAAAAATATGAGTAAAAACAAGGCAAATAAAATTTATAACTCCGAATGAAAAACAAATTACCAATATGAAAAAGGACTATTTACACTTTAGGCTACTAAGTAGGCAAACGGTGAAAACTCGGGTTCACCACTTGTAAGAGTTAGACTTAGGGTGTACTTCTACCTGACAATGACCACTCTTACAAACTCCTTCACCGTTTATGACCTTAATTAGTACTCTGCCTACGTGCAAGTACTAAAGAACGGAATCAAAGTTAGAAGACTCGAAATGGCAAGTGCAACTGGACCGGAATTATATTTACACAAAGAGATATGCAATTTGAGGCTGGACTTATCCGGCATGTTGGTTGAAATTTCGCTCGGCAAATTTTTTTTGTCAATAATTTTCAATAAAATTTTGTTATATGTTTTCTGGATTGATAGGAATTCTCATTTACTGGCTAGTTATGTTGGTGTCCGCGTCATGTAATCTGACTGCGACACACTTAGCATATTGGTTGTAATGATTAGTGTTTCATGCTGAATGCGTCAAAACATCTCTACAATGAAGAAGATGGGGTAGTTGGGGGATAATGTCATCTACACAAATAGTTTATTTCTTGTATAAGCTGCAGCTTTCGACAGAGTGTCATTCAATGAAGACTACGTCAAAATGTGGCTATTTTCGTGTGAAGATTAGTACTATTTTACAAAAGAATGCTATCAGTACATGGGAATCACCTATAAATGCCAACAGAACGTAAAACCAATGTGTAAACGAACGGCTACGGAACTGCAATCCAACATAACCGACTAACATGGACGAAAATGACCTCTGAGCGTCTCACTCCGTCAATGACCTTGAGCATGCGGGATAATTTCAGCCCAATTTGATAAGAAATAAAAAGTACACACTTATCTGGAGGTGAGACGGTTGTCGGCTCGTAGAGTGTACTAGGTGAAAGTACAGCTAGAGAGCGAGACAGTAACCGTACAGGAGGAACCGGAGTACCAAGCGGAAGTGGAAGTCAAGTTAAACATGTCAGGTTGCATTCATTCAAACAAAAGTTCAAAGGTACAATGTACACTACAAGTACATACAAACACCACACATTCATACTTCACATGTGGCTCATCTTTGCTTGATTTTGATTCTCACAATATATCTGATTTTTTAGCTGACAACAGACACCTTGTCGAAAAGCTTCAAAGCTTTTTAAACTTCAAACCAGGTTCTAAATTCTCTAGGTTTAATTTGTTCTTCGAAAACTTTGCTAATATCAACCCTGATCATGCTCTCTTACCAGATTCACTCGTAGATTGTTGCATACTGTAAACATGAACGTGAGAGACATTTTTTTCCAGATTGCTACATATTAAGTAGCCAACTGAGCCAGCAGCAATAACGGCAACCAAAAATGAACTGCAAACAATGGCTTCTGCCTCCCAAACATGTTCACGTGCATAATCTCCAAGATTTCTACACAGTACTAATTCAATAATACCTGAAAAAACAACTAAAACACTGAAACCATGCATGAATGCAACGTATGAAACAATTACAATGAAAAGAATGCACTGACCTGGTGGTAAAAACTTTCGAAACAAACGAAATAACTAATTTTAACAGAAACGGAAACAATAATGAAGTGAAATGCAACATTTGTGAACAATGTGCATCAAGATAAGTTGTGAATAACTGCTGGATAAACGGAAAAACCAATGTGTAAACGAACAGCTACAGAACTGCAATCCAACATGGCCGACTAACATGGACGAAAATGAACTTTGAGCGTCTCACTCCATAAATGACCTTGTACGTGATGTTTAATTTCTGCCCCTAATATACAGCGCGATGACCCTGAGCGGCCGTTTCGATAATCCCGTGGTATGTAGGCGGAGTTACGGATACTGCACACGAATTACTTACCACATTTCATCCATATCTCGTGTTTAAGTGCTGCCTAGATCACAGGCTTATTAGAAAGGAGAAAACGTGTAGACAACTGTCACAGGACAGGGATATATCCCTGGACTATATTCATAACGTGGTCACTAATACGGCCAGAGCGGGGAATGAGCCTAGAAACATGATGATTTAGTTATCTTGACTAATATTTGCAGAGAAATTGATTTAACCTAACTATGAGGACACCCATGAGAAGCTGGAGACTTTTTTTTTTACATCTAATACAAGGAAGTCATCATATGTAACTACCTATTAACGTTGCATTACTTATATATAATCGTCTTTGCCAAATTACGCACTTCTGTTTCGGCTGTGCCTGATTAATCAGTAGTGATTTATCAGGCGGGTTTGTTTTGGGCTGCTATAGTTTCGAGTTCAGAGGGTCACTCTAGTGATTCTTCTGTTTGGTGTACCAATCATCGGAATTTCTGAATCCTTTTCTTCCCGGTTGATGTGGTCATTCATTCGTATATTGAGTATATTGTAATTTCGGTCCTCTATAGAATTGCGACAAGTCTGCTGGTTTTGTCCCAAATTTTAGGGAATTCTTCTGGGTAGGAAAGACGTTGCCATTCCCTCATGTCTTTTTAATATAGAAATTACTATACTACTATTGGTTCACTTGGTGTAGACGGGTAGCTAACATATCATGAGGTTCGGAAAGACTCAGGGTTGGTTAGACTAAAATTTTTGATCAATGCCTGACGTTATAGTCGTTTCGCCACGTGTTGTGGGAATAGACTGCCGGATTGGAGTCCTCAGCATGATAAGGACCAATAGTTGGAGATAGTTGGCGATATGGTTCAAAATAATGTTAAATGAAAAGGAAACATTAAGTCTGTAATCTCCCAGATCCCCGTGTCTTTCCTCATTACTATTCTTTCTCCCTTACTTTTCTGCTGATTATAGTTCATTTAAGCCTTCCTCACTCTTTTTTACCTCTGTGTGCTTCATAAAGTTCTGCAACCTAAATCGTTGCACTTTGTACTAAGTTCTTTATGGGAACAAACAATAATTAAACGGTTGCTAATCTAAATCACGGCTGAGCGATAGGACTTAATCATTTAACTTTCGGTGATAAGTCTTTGACTAGGATAGTCAAGGTAATGTTTAGTGCATGGCACCGTAATGTATTTCCATTACACTAGTGTAGATCTTCAACCGTCTTAGTGTGCAAGAATGGAGAATAACCATCCAGTGATATTTTATATATACATAAATGTATATCCCAAGCTTACAATAATTCTGAATTAAATCTCGCTAATTCGGAACCAACTCTAAAATTCTGTGATAAGTAAATTCTGAAATGGTTTGACTGTGTACACAGACTAGAACTCAATGCTAGTTTTCAGCAGGACTGGAACTAATTCAGCCCCCTGTTCTTTTTCTAGGCATTTTCAGAAGTGGCTGAGAACCTACTGGGTTCACTAATCAGCGTTGTTTTGACCCTCTCAGCCCAGATTCAGCGCTTATTGGCATTACTTCAGAACACTTTTTCAGCTTTATTTCAGCACTAAAGACGTTATTTAAGTTGCAAATCCTATTTTTAAGGTTTCGTCGACTAAACTAAGTCCCCAGTGCTCTTTTTAAGAACGACCACAGTCATTTTAGCACATAGTGGGTTCATTTTAGTTAGATAAAATATCCGTTTACCATGAAAAGGCATTGTCGACGCATAGGTTAGGATTAGTTTAGAATTATTGTAAGCTTGGGTTCTAAAATGCTGACGTTTTTTACAACATTTTCACATATCCCTGCCGCCATCATAATTGTAATAATTTTTTCCATAAAAAATTTCATTCCATGAGTAGTGTACATAAGAAGACGATTTATAGTGTTCTCTCATTGACACTAGATATGAAGTTTGGAGTGTACATGGGTAATTTGAAGTCATTGGTTCCTTGATGGTGAATATCAGTGACCCTAGCAAATAAGAGAGAATTTTTAGTAGTTTGTATACAGTTGCCTCAATTTATTTTAGTCAATGATGTCTAGTCTCAATTTAAGTGATAATAAGATCACAGAACGAACTGTTATGTAGCCATTCGTTACCTGAAGTCTTTATGTTCATTTAGTTTCTTTAGTTTAATACAGAGTTTTTTGTTGTTGTAGCAAACCGTCCTTATTTTGAAATTGGATTTCCTGGAGGGATTTCTTTTGTCAATCCAGTTTGCATGAATGGTAAAACAAGATCATGCATCGAAAAATATTCCTTTCCTTTTTTGCAAAAGCGGTCAGGCATATTATGCAAGCACTTGGTGGAGTGTAGTAATCCGTTCATCGCATTCGATCATATAAGTGTGTCGTCATTAGTTTTTCGTTATTGTTACAGAAGTTCAACGAAATGAGTCAACAAGCTTGCACTCGCATATCGGTGTTCAACTCATTACCTACTTGGTGGATGGGGTTTTTAAAACTCCCGTTTCTTCATGGAACTCTCCTACACTAGAGTTTACTAAGTTTGAGTCTGAATGTCGTCATATGGAAACATTTGTTAGTGATGTTAATCACAGTTCAGCAGAATTATTTAAAGTTTGGATCCACTGCAAGCCTTCTGTATCAATGGATTATTCACACCATGGTTCTCAACTATATACATCAGATGATTTTACCGTAGTACGAGAAGAGGACAATAGCGCTGAGCTGCGCATACTTTCAGGTTCAGTCTCAGGTAATTTTCATCTTCCTTTCCAATTTTCTTATCTGTTATATTTTCTATTCTAAAGTAAAGAAATGTGTCTTTTTACTATTATCTTGTGCTGAGCGAAATTTGGAAAGCATCCATGTAAATCATGCGCTAAATTTGATGCGACTTTATTAGTTTCTTCTCATATATTCTTTGCGTTTGTGGTATCTGTCGTCCATAAACTGAAACCATGTATGCACATATGGCTAATATTTCCTAGTGTTCACTGAGATCCAGACCATACTACCACGGATGATGCTTCTAACCAAAATAAAATTGATCTGAGTTGACAATATTGAAAATGTCAAATGTGGGATACCAGTCTCCTAATCACAAAGATAATGAATTTTACTTTGGGAAGGACCATGATAATTACATAAGGTATTACTTGATTAGTGATATTCACTTAGCTTAGAAAGGTTGATTTACATCGTGAAAATAGGCGCTTAACTGTATAATGTTCACCTATTCAAATCATCATCTCTCATCCTTTTTTTTAGAGAGTAAATAATAGGTTTCGAATTTAACTGACTCACATTAGCTTATTGGTCTTAAGAAGCATCGCTTGTGTAATATTGTTTTTACCAAAAGTTAGACGCCACATTGCTGTTTAAGTAAATTAAGTCCTATGTAAAAGTTGAGGGTGCTTTCAAAACATTTTTAAGAAGTGACTAGCTGACTGGCTTCAAAGTAGAACTTTGTACATATGTGTAACTTTCCTAGTTGCCACACTCCATGTAGCACACAAATCAAGAGAAGAGAGTAAAGATTCAGAAGAGAAACAATAAACATAAGTGTGAGGGAGCAGTAATATGGAAGAACAGTAGAGTTTTATTAGATATGACAAATCCCAGAGAGTGAATTCATCTGCTCCAATGAGAACGATTTTGAACCACGTCACCAATTGTCTCCAGCTTTTAGACGTAGTAAAAAAGTTGGCGTATCTGAGTAATTATGTGGCCACTGGTGGATGTGTAACTTATGCTGTATCCATTTGTTTACAGGAAACCAGAGTACTATAGCGAAATGTGGGGGTATATCTAGTTCTCTTGAGGTGTTACTCTGCTCCTCAGAAATCGAGTATATGGTGCCGTGATGTATGGAATTATGCTCCGTGCTTTTTGAATCTTCTTATTTCAAGCTAAGGGTGCCCAGCAGCCTTTTGTTTAATTACCACCGTATTCGTGGGATTACTTCTATCTGCTAATGACACAGTGTATGAAGTTCTATAGCACATGCTTTAACAAAAGTGGAGATCAGATTTCGACAGCTGATATCATCACGACACTGTCTTGCTGATGTGTTACGTATGTTACTGTTTGCTATCTACTAAGCTTTGGAGTAGTTGGGAGATGTGGAGCGACTTTAGGGTACGATTGGTATCTGCGTTATGTTCGCATCTTTTTGTACATCACAACCTCATGGGCGGCCTTCAACAGATCATGCGACTCAATGGTTTGAGAAAATAGCAGATATCTTTCAAAATTAAAACAAATTATGGTTATGTCGTGGAGTTTTTAATTTCACATTTTGTGTTGTGTTGGTCTTCGTCTGCAAAGTATGTTTACGGCCCAAAGGGGAATTCTGTTTCTGTACAAGTAGAGAAGGTTGCAACCACTACTTAATGCATAAGTCAGGAGCTTAACAATAAATACTTTTAAATTATACATCTGATGGTGGTCCACCTTTTCATTTATTCATATGTTTTGATTGGAACTGGCGAAACTGTCTTTTTGAAAGTAAAATGCTTTAGGTAATGTAAATACACTTTTAGGATGTACAGTAGGATGTACTGGTAATTGATATATATATATATATATATATATAACTACTTGAATATTTATGTACTTGAAAAGCGATTGTGTTTCGAATGAATTTGCATGTTCTTAGTTTGAGAAAAGGGTGATTTTTATGTTTGTTTTTGTGCTGTCCTTTGATTGAATCAGTAACTGTTATAACAAGTGACACTAAACAGCATATTCATTCAAATAAATTTTGTTGTTACTGCTTTTCTAACTGCAGCATATTCACTTAGTGAATTTAATTTGTTATCATATAGGTGTATCTGGACCTATTGAGACTGATCCACCAATTTGTTTCTTTGATCTCTACCTTCAACATTCATCGTCCCAGTGTACTACTTATTGCTTACCATTGTCTGAAGAGTATGAAACAGCCTTTGTCTACATCTGGAATTCATCGGACAGGAAGAATTCTGTTCTAAGTATTGTTTCAGATGTACCCAACGAATCAACTTCATTAGCTATGCATGAAATTGCTGTTCTAAATTGTGTTGGAAATCTCGTGAAAATTAAATTGCACAATAACGCCAATTGTAAGTTATTTTCATCTCCTTTAAATTATTGAACTCAATCGAAAATCAATTTTCATTTTAATAAATACTAATGAAGCAAACTTAGATTATATAGGTGCCTTTTGTGAAATATAAGACATGTAAAGTGACATCCCAGGTATATATTGCAATGGTCACCACAGTAAAATAGTGAGTGTGCTACTGCAAAAGGGGAGGGAGGCTCCTCGGTTTTTATAATATATATTGTTTTACGTCACCGTCGAATGTTTATTACAAAACTGACTTCTCTCCAGTTTGAGATGAACACCTTTCTATACATTGCTTTATGGTAAATAAAAGTAGTAGTGAAATCATGTGGCCATTTCTAATGTTCAAATTTAACTGTTAAGTCTTAATTCCCTGCTTAGCTTCCTCACCCTAAGAAAGTATAAAGAATTCGTGAGTATTCGATTTTTATACACCCAGTTCCCTTGATTAATATGGATATGGCAAAAACCTGTAGGATGAAAACAACTCATTCAGCTGCTAACAACCTTAAAACTACTAGTTATTTTAAATCTAAACACATAACATACTTCGGTAAGTATTTCAACTCAAAGCACATCCAAGAATTCTCAGCATAGTAATCGAACAGGATGTATGAATACAAAAGTTACTTATCTGACAAGAGTTTGCTTACACATTATATGATGAAAAGTTCGAGAGAAGATGGTGAGAGTGAATTGTATGGTAAGTGAGAACGAAATTATTGCGTAGACAGAAAACTAAGTAAATTAGAAGTATAATAATCAGTTCACCTAAGCGAGTGAAAATGAAACAAAATTCGTGACACAGCAAAGAACAGAAACAGAAAAGAGGCATCTAATTACCAGGATAGATTAATGACGCCATCTTCCCTCACATATCGGTTAGAGTAAAGTTGTTTTACAACTAATGGATGATGGAACCAATGAAAAAAGCTATTTATAGAAAAGATATGTGGACGTTTCCATACGTTTGTCCATTTGGTTACAAACGGAGTTTGGTCAAGGAGCTGTTCAGTAGAATGAGGGCATTATGTCTAGAAAATAAGATTGGTGAAAAACTCATGATAATGAAAACAGTTTAATGAAGAATGGATAATCCAGGAAGTTCATGTAAGAAACGTCCAGACTGAACCAAGTATTGGTTGGAAAGAATCCAATTTCCATATGCTTCGCATCACAAAGAATAGAAAAAAGAATCAAAAGTGCATTGAAAAGGACGTTTCCTGCCACTACTTTAACACAAAATACTCATTAATTCAGTATAAAGTTGATAAATATTCTGCCAATTTCAACTTCAATAACATTTGCCATTTCGTATGCACTTGTACTAGCGGGTACATAGTGAGGACCTAGACTGGTTGCACTAGAGAAACTTGTGCCTACTTTTATCATTGTTTGCTCTCCGAGTGAAACATAGTGCTTACGCTTTGGAGTTTTTAGTGGTGTTGTTTGTAGGTGGTAGGTTCTCTAGCCTCACGTGGAACTTTCTCACTTTTCCAGACTCTCGACCGACTAGTTAACTCGGCGGGGTTTAGCACTGCGTTGGTGGGGTTTCTAAATTGAGTCTTTCGCGTGACTGGTGAGCATTTCACCAGCGCTTAACGTCTACTCATCGAAGATATTCCAATGAGATTTATTTCTGCTTGAAGTTGAATGCTTCGAAACTCTAATTTTTGCTTGATGGTACATATTGCAGCTGTCATAGACGCCAATTTGTTGACTGAATTTTTAATCACTAATCCCTGATGCGAAAGCGATTTATATAAAATCATATAGGGGCGACAGAAAAAGATCTAAAGGTGAACACTATATAAGGTGTGGTGTCTTAATGCATGTATTCCGCTTATGATAATTATGGAACACAGTTTAAGCAAATACATATTTTCGGTGGTTTCTCACCAGCCTTTACAATTACATAATAAAATATTAATCATAGACATTTGAAACCAATGTAGTTAAGAAAGTTAAAGTTCAAACCTATGAATTAGTGGTTAATAGTCGAGGTGATCATAATAATAACAAGGAAAAATTCATGTGTTTTAGGTAGTCAGTCGTTGTATGTTAGTAGGAATGCGTATACTTATAGGGATAGAGATGTAAATAGCTATTGTTATATTGACTAGATAATAATAATGATAACATAAGAAATTGTTAAACTAAGATTAAAATATGCAATTATAGCACAATATAATATTGACAATAAAGATAGAGTTAACAGCATAAATAAAGATAATATTTACAGTTGTCCAGCGTCACCGGGAGAGATAACTACTCTAGATCAAGGGTGAATGCCATGGGGGGGGGGAAGGGACTGAACAAACGTTTTCTGAACATAAAGATTGGATTGAGGATGTCTTATGGAAACTGTCTCGGCTATGGTCAACAACCAAAGGCGTACAAACCTAGAGAATTGAGTTGGCACCTTGTACAGAACTGTTAAGGGCTGAATTTTTATCAATCCTGTTCTCCATATCTACTAGATGTGCCAATACGGAACTCCTGATTGACTTTATGACTCCTCTTCCTAACTACGTTAGAAAGCCACGGTAGCCTTGCTGAGTCGTTCCACGCATATAACTATCTCCACAAGAGTAGTTGGATTTATAAGTGTACACTAAAAAAGGGCACACTGTGAATTACTCTAAGATTCAGTTGCTCTCCATTCTTTAATATTGATATCTTATTACTAGTAAATTTGTGAAGTGGCTTACAAGGCTTCCATTTTGTCAGTTGCTGTAGATGTATATTTGTGCTCCAGAACCCTTTTGGTATTTTAAAAGTGTGATGTGTGTGGTATTTTTTAAACTGGGTGTGACATGCGTATAATATAAATTTTATCCATACATATTTTCTTTTTAGGAATTAACTTTCATTTGGAAAGCATTTCAAGTTAGATTTCATCACGAAACTGTATCAGCTAGACAACCACTGAAAACCATGGAGCACTGAATAATTGTTTCTTCCTAGCTTAGGACTCCTCCACCTTACACACCCATAACTCCACGAGGAATCAATACTAGGTCCTTCAGGTTACGAGGCGACCACGTCGCCATTCTCCCACTGTCCTGGTATGCAATAACCCATAAGTTATTTCAGTCTGCGACATCGCGCCACTGCCATCCCGGGTGGGGTTACCAGGGCGTACTGATGAGGAGTCCGAAATGCGGACGAGAGAGCCTTCCATAGCATCCAAGTTTTCAATGGTTATCTAAATAATCCCGGTTCATCACTAAGTCTACCTTGAAATTAATCAGATCCCTACAAAAGAGTATATAAAAATGAAATATTTCCTACTTTTGTTTAAATTTTCAGTTTGTCGTGTAATCATTTTAGCTGGAAGACGAATCGAGTTACCTAAATCGTCCAGTTTTGCAGAAAACGCTTTTGTAAGTCGTTTATTCCTGGTTTGTGCTGAATTTTACCGCTTATTTTTCAGTGTTTTTATTGTAATTTGACTATTGTCAACTTATAAGTATTTCCTGTAGTTTCCATTTCGAATATCCAAGCCACGCAACTAATAGTTTTCTGCATCAAAAAATTTTTGGATTAGTGTCATGCATCCTTGTATAATCACATTTACCTATTCCGAATGTGTTACTTTCCCAGCTGATGGCATCCACTTAGGTTGACATGTATATTTCACCTACACAACATAGTCACAGTTAAAAGTTCACCAACTTTTAAAATGTCGCTCATCTTCTACCTGATACTCTTGGATGTGATCTTATGGTGTGTTTACTAGTTGAAACTTCTCTAATTTGAGCCTGGTTCGAACACGTGAGCCACTAGATGAAATTCCAGTGCCTACACTAATAAGTCACATTTCTAAAATTATTCCACTATACATAAATGATGCTACAAAGATAAAAGTGGAATGAAGTATAAATTTATCTCATATCCACAGTGTCTTTGTTTTAGCTCTCTGAGCCATGAGTATGATTTAGGATATTTAAGCTTACGGTGTTATTTATAAAATCAGGTTTTGAATACATTTACGCATAATCATATAGTAACGACAGAAGATAAGAGAGTTGGTAACGAACTTTTTTTATGAAGTAAAAGACATCGTATTTATACACGAAGTCAGTGGAAAATAAATTGTTCCGATTGGTCAGTGATTGATCCGAGGCTGAACAGTGAGACGAAAAGTTGTCCAATGAAACTATTCAACGTCGACTACGTAAACTAAGTCCAGATTTGAGGAATAAACACATCTACCTTTACAGCCATTGGCTTAAAATGTTGACTTCGATTTTGACCGCTTCCTGTCAGTCTTCATCTATACACACCTTATAAATGTTGTCCGTAGCACAAGTCACAACATCAGTTTGATTTATTGCTTCAAAATAACTTATGGATTTATATGTTTTAAGTAAAAGACAAACAAAATCCATTCATAGCACTATTCTATCTCATCTTGTGGATATAGAACACAAGATTGATGTTAACAAGGTGGCTTTCAAAGTCATCTACCATATACCAACCAACTAATCTTATCTTTACCTTAAGAGTTCGTCTACTACATATTGCTGAGGATGGCTGTTGGGATCCACATTAAGAAATCTAACTTACGTATCCAAAAGAAATTGGTTGGTTCAGACACTGTCCTTACCTTGGCCATCTAGGTTCCAATGATCCTCAGTTTGTTGTGGAAATTTCCTTAATTTTATTTTATATTCTATTTGCCATTACATTTTTATGCTTATTATAACTTATGCATCTTTGGTGAACTGTAATTCCATCGATCTTACTTAACAAATCGATAGTATTTAAAAACGTTGTTAGTGACGACTATTCTAGAATGCTCTATGTATATAAACATATATATAATTGTAGAGCCAGAAAAGGAAATTATCGAAAAGAATATTCTTTGTTCAATTTTTTTGCTCTTTCGGAATATTTTAAAATGTTACTCAGTGATTTCTATGTTATTCAAATTACCTTTTATTGGCCCTTTTTTGTATTATAGTACAAATTCAGTGATCCAGATGCACGAAAAGAGATTTTGCCAAATAGTGAAGATGACAAACACCGACCTTATAGTTTGTGTTTTATTTAATTTCAAGTGTGATTGGTATACTTGTTTCCATACTATACTAGTGTGTATATTGCAGATCTTACGGTCTTCTTCTTTTTATTCACTAAAATTGTACTAATAAGTGTTTGTACAGAAAGATTTAAATATATACATGTAATTTATAGTTTAAATGATTGTTTTCCAGTTACATGTCTTGTCTTATCGTTGATATTTGTGTTTGCCATGCGTTTGACCAACTGTTGAAGTTGTTTCAGACTCCGTTATAATGTTTTGTATTGTTTGAGTTAGAGAATTTAATGATGTGGAAGTGAGATTTAATCTTTACCACTATGGGCAATAACAAAGTGCTTTAGCCCCTGTTTATTTTGTGTTTAAGTAATGTCAGTTACTCTTTCTTTTAGACAGATTGTTAATTGACAGTAACTATTTTTTTTATTCATAACCTCGAATGACTACGATCAAATAGTTTGAAAGAGGTTTTTGTGTGAGTAAATTGTTACTAGATTACGGTTTGAACCATTTGTTTTTATGATTATGTGCATAAATGTAACAGTAAGTTGGTGGTCAGATGTCAAATCCCTATAATTGTGTATATTGTTATGTAATAGTTCACTCGTATACACCTCCCTCAAATTATTTGGCCGTAATGATTCGATGTTATAAAACGTGATTGTTGTTAATATCAACTATTCCTTAACTGGTATAATCATTTTACTGTGGAAACTAAAGGAGAAGTAATGGAATTGAATTCTCTTTGTTCATTAATCAGTGTTTTAATTCGTAATGGATATTTTCAGACAGTGAAATTGTTAATCTCTTTATTTGTCAATTGTTGGTTCAACATACTGTGTTGATCAGTTTATTGAGTACTGCTATTATTCAGACTTTCACCTGTTTATTTGTTCTTAAACGATTATGCTTACGGCCTATTGTTGTTTACCTACCTAAATTATCTTGTTATCAACGGCTTGAGATCTTTTTTAATCATTATTTCTATCATTCTATTCCTTTACGTTCCCATTGGAACATAAAGCGTCAAGTTAGAGCCTGTTTCTGTAGCAGTGGTTTTTATTTTTATTGAGTAAGGTTGATAGCCTCCTGACAGCCTTCTCTCTCTCCCGGTCCCATTACCGATTTAGCGATGTCTAAGAATATGTCGGCCGGGGGGTAAACCCCGGACCACATACGTGGTTAGACAACAGTCTACTGATGAACCACTGATGCTTTATAAAGGGTAAACAGATGTCTATAAACATTTCCTAAGAACAATATAAGGCGATTAGATTAGCTTAAATTGCATTGACGGGATATTTGAACAAGCATGTATGGATGAGATATGCTGAAATAAAAAGAGATCATAGATTCTGCAAAAAAAACCTTTTGTAACGGCATCATGTCGCTTTAATTTTGAACAAATTTCAAAAATGTTAAAATATTTCAATGAAAGACCATATTGGCTACCAAGGCAGTGATAGTGGAATGTTATTTTTCTTTTATTATGGCTTGAGACCGCACAGTATTTTTGGCACAAGTATGGAATTTTCAGCATGTTATATCGGTAGCCCAAATTTTGCAGGCCGACCATTGATATCGGGTGTGCGTTGGCAGGGGATCGAACCCCGGACCATGTGCATGGTCGGGGAGAGTCCTAACCGCTGTGCCACCGACGCACGGTTATTCCAGTAATAAACTTACTGAATAATAGCAAAATTCAGTATTCACTTGATCCGTATCTTTTGTACAATGCTAAAGTCGTTGGTGCATGGATGTGGTTTCTTTAAATGTTTTCCCCCTAGTAGAGGTAAATAAGCTCGCATATGTCATAAAATGCTTTTGATAGTCATCAAATCATGTATAATTGAAAATCACTAGTTACCATGATTATTTGAAAAAAAAACCAGTCAATTTCAGTGACCGAATTTGTAGTGGGTAGAAATGACCGGAAAGTTAAACATTTGCGTATATCTTCTCTCTGATGAAATTGGACGTAGTTTAAAGCAAAAATGTTAAGTAAATATTTTTTTCAAAAACACAACAAAGTTATGAATGTAACTAAGAAACTCCGTATATGTTCTTGTATTGTATTGTGAAACTTACAATACTATTAACTGGATGGTGTAAAGTGGAACATAGTGTGAACCCTTTATCTAATACGTGAAAGTCAAGTGCTTAGACAGGTAAGTCAGACCAGAAATGCTGAAACCGAAATACTCTAATATAATTTTTTTGTATATGAATTTTGTAAGGTGGGGTAAAAGACACTTTACTTACAGAATTTACAATCTGTAGAAAAATAAGATTTTCCACATAATACTGATTGATTTAAGGTTTCGATTTTCAAAATGCAACTGGTTATTTGGATTGGTTTTCGGTTACTTATATTTCTGTTATAAGGCACATGGTGTTTAGAAAGTTGATTGAACACTAGACATGTAGAATATTTGGTCAAATATTCCTCTGGGGGTCATGTGTCTGCGTCCACTGCTCTTTTTACAGCGTTTCGCTTGCACTTGCAATGATCCTAGCTATTCGAAATACCAGAGGCATATTGCAATATAAGGTGGAATTAATTGATATTTAGATAAAGGGATTGGATACAGGATAAGCGTCTTTAACTGCAATTGATAAAAAATTGTGAAACTCCTGAGGATTTATAACAGTATTATGTCTAGCCTGCTTTTGATTGTCTTTTATGTAATATAATACATATTTTTGTGGTATTCGTCTTTTCAGGATACAATAATTACAAAGTTGTTGCCAGCTATTCCAAGAATATTTAGCGGTCTTTCTTTGGTTGGAATAGTATTTGGCTTATATCATTACCTCTGTGGGACGCGTTCACCCTTTTTTGTACAGTATAGTTTACTCTATGGCAAAGTAAAACCTGCATATTGTGAAGCATTCGAGTCTTTAAGAGTTCCTAAAAGGTAAATTGTAGTTTTCATTACTTTTCACAAATTTTTTCTCTACTGCATTTTGTAGCTCATCATTTGTACCTATTGTTATTATTATTATTAGCATTATTGTTTCCTTTAATTCCTAGAGGAACATAGGGCTTCAGCCATGCGTCTCCATTGCGTTCGGTTCTCTGCTAGAGTTTTCACCTGGCTCCAAGTCTGTCCACACGTTTTCATCTCCTCTTCACATGACCTCCTCCAATTCACCCTTGCACTGACGACCAACTCGCCGCTTCCCGTTCGGGTTCAACTCGAGCAATAGCTTGTCTAGTGATGTCACTTGATGGTTTCCTCAGAGTGTGACCAATCCATCTCCATTTCTTCCTGCCTATTTGTTTCACAATCGGTTCCTGGTTGGTTAGCTCCCAGAGATCCCTGTTGCTGATCTTTCCTGGCCGGCCATCTGATCTTGAGTATTGAGCGAAGACAACTGTTAATGAAGGTCTGTAGTTTGTTTGAGATGCTCTTTATGACGCGCGAAGTCTCTGATCCGTATGTTAAGTTTTCTCTATGTTCACCTGAAATCCTATCTTTGATGCTTCTTCTGCCAACTTGTTGCTTTTCGCTTGCATATCTTCCAGTTTGTGGGAAATCAGACATATATCATCGGCGAAGTCCAGATCCTCCAAGTTTTTCGTGTGAGTCCATTTTATGCCTGTTTCCTCATTGCCCGCTGTTTGTCGCATTATCCAGTCTACTGCAACCAGGAAAATCATTGGCGATAGTAGGCAGCCTTGTCTTACTCCTGTCCTCACTTCGAAGGATTCCGTAAGTTTCCCGTTGTGGATTACTTGGCATGCAGCATTGTCGTACAGCTGTTGGATCAGATGTATAATTGTCGGTGGTACCCTGTAGTAGCGAAGTAGTTGCCAAATCACCCCTCGATCGACGCTGTCGAATGCCTTTTCAAAGTCGACGAAGTTGAGATAGAGAGGTGACTGGCATTCCAAGCTTTGTTCAATGATGATCCGTAATGTGGCAATCTGATCAATGCATGACTTGTTTCTCCTGAATCCAGCCTGTTCCGGTCGAAGTTTTTCATCCAGGGCATGTTTGATTCTCTCCAGGATGATGCGGCTTAGTATTTTGCTTGAGATGGACAGGAGCATAATTCCGCGCCAGTTCTTGCATTGACTTAAGTCTCCTTTCTTTGGTAGTTTGAATAAGTATCCTTTCTTCCAATCCTCGGGTACTTTGCCTTCTTTCCACACCTTCCCTAGTAGTGGCGTCATCAAGTCCGCTGTTGTCTCTGGGTGCATTTTCAATGCTTCTGCTGGGATTCCATCTGGTCCTGCTGCTTTTCCAGCTTTTAGCATCTTGATTGCCTTCAGGACTTCTGATTTCGTCGGGGGGTTGGTGTTCACTGGTAGCTCTGTCTCCGTTGTTGGTATTGTTGGGTGCGTTGTAGGTGGTGGTCGATTTAGAAGTCTTTTGAAGTGTTCAGCCCAGTGTTTCTTTTGCTCCACTTCTTTGGTGAGTGACTTTCCATTGTCATCCTTCACTGGCCTAATTTGTGTCAAACTTTTGCCCGATAGGTACCTAGTTGTTTGGTAGAGTGTTGCGAGGTCTCCTTTGCCTGCAGCTTGTTCTGCTTCACTTGCCATGGCTTCATAATACTTTCTGTAAAACCTTAGTCTTATCAAAGTCGATTTTGTGTCCCGTTTCTATCGAATGCATGAGTTGTTTTCTAGCTTCTTCAAGTCTGCAGAGGTCTTTGGAACCACCTTCACACATTGTTTATGCTCTTTCACTCTTACATTTACCTGTCTGGAAGTTTCTCCTACATATACGGCGTTACAATCCCCACAATTGATCTGGTATACGCAATTCTGCTGGTTTTATTGTTCTATTTTATCCTTAACCTTCACCAGTAATGAGCGTAAGGTGTTAGTTGCACGAAATACACTCTTATGTTATGGTCGTTAAGGATTCGCTTTATTTCATCGGATGTTTCTTTGCGGTAAGGAATCACCGCTGTACTAACCCAATTCTTAGCATCAGGTTTCGATTCATCCTTATCTTCACATTTTAAATATCTTTTTATGAAATCTTTAGGATAATTATTTGATTCAAGAGTGGATTGAACCAATTTTAGTTCCTTGCTAATATCTTCATCCTCAGTAACTAGACGTTTGGCTTTGTTGATCAGATTCTTGGTCACAGTTACTTTGGTGGTAAATGGGTGATCTAAATAGTAGTCTAGGTATCTATCCGAATTTGTCGGCTTTCTGAAAATGTTTATTTTAAATTTGCCATCTAATTTTCTCTTTACTAAACAGTCCAGGAATGCCAACTCATTCTCATTGGATTCAACCTCTTTGGAAAACTTGATAGTTTCTGACATATTGTTTATTAAGTGAAAAAGTTAATTTAACAAACTACGTTTGATTATGACAAAGGTATCATACGTATCTTAACCACATCTTTAGGGGACTAAAGCATCTCATAATTGCATTTGTTTCTAATGAGTGCATAAACAGATTGGCGACTAGCGGAGATACTGGTGATCCCATAGCAATGCCTCCTGATTGACGGTAAAGAACCCCTCTAAATGTAAATAACGTGGATCGAAGACACAATTCTAATGCCTTCATAATTTCGTCTGGATTAAAAGGACAACGACCACTGAGTTCGTCGTCAGAACAAAGTAAATTATAAATAATACTTAGAGAATCATTAACGGGAACATTCGTGAACAATGAATAAACATCGAAACTTGCCATTACTTCATCTTCTTCAATATGAGTCAAGTTTATTTTTCTCTTAAATTCATACGAATTCTTCACTCCATGCTCCACTTTCATTTCATATGGGCTAAGTATTCGATAAATGTATTTAGAGAGTTTTTATGTTGGAGAATTAATAAAATTCACTACTGGACGTAACGGAACTTCTGATTTGTGTATTTTTGGTAACCCATAAAATCTACGGGAGCTGCAACTTTTTGGAGCCAGAGTAAACCAAAGTGATGCACCGAGCTTCTCTTTTATTAATTGTAACATTTTGCTTGTTTTAGCCTTCAGCTTATTTAATGTCGCCCTTGATTTATTCACGTTGAATTTTTCATAAGGTCCGTCATTAAGACGATCAGTGGCCTTCTTTTCGTAATCTGAAGAGATCATGACAACCATGATATTTCCTTTATCTGCTCTTGTAATTATAATTGATTTATCTTGTTGTAGGTTTTTTAATGCCAGTTGCTCGCTTTTATTTATATTCGGCGCATTTGGCTTCTGGTTCAGTAGTACCACTGTAATTTTGTGTCATATGACGTTTACGTGCTTTAATAGAGTCGGTAAGATTCAATGCATGTCGTCGGAGAGATTTTGTGTTGGGATATATGTGACTTCTTCTCAGTGCTTTCCAAAACCACTTTGGATATTCACGATTGGTGATACAATCATTGAAAAAAGTTATTTTCGCTATCGCAAGTTTGACAGAGAACCGTAGAAACCCATTGAGTTCCTTGACTGTCGAAGGCTCATGGCAAACCTCGAGAACGGCCCGCTCAAATCAACTATTGACAATTTCCAATTGTATTTTACATATGTGGACGACATCTTTATTATCTGTGATGACGGTTTCGATCTCGATCAGTTACTACAAATATTCAACAAATGCCATTCAGCTGCAAAGTTCACTCTTGAAATTGAAAGCGAATCTAAAATTACTTTTCTTGATGTTGAACCTACAAGGAGAGCTAATGGAACTTTAAGAAGGTCCATCCATAGGAAACCCACATGGAACGGCCAACTGACAAGCTTCTACAGCTGGGTACCAATCAGTCGAAAAAGAAACCTAATTAGATCTCTTGCCACTCGCATCCGACGCATCTGCAGCTCTGATACCTTGGAAGAAGAACTACACTTCCTGAAAGAAATCTTCATACAAAACGGTTATCCCTCAAGATTCGTAGACAAAAACATTAAACAGAAAATCCAAAAGCAAGAGACACCATTCGTGCCAAAAGAGATACTTTATATGAACCTCGACTTCAAAGGTGACCTACTCAGTGATGTCCTTAGCAGGAGAATTTCCGCTTCTTTAAGAATAACTTTCTTTGCGGCAGCATTGAGAGTAGTGTTCTCCAGTCACCCGCTGATCTGCAGAAGCCCAAAGGAAAAGATCCCGCACCTGACCACTTCTGTGTATATATCAGTTCACCTGTTGCTGTGGAGCCAGGTACATCGGTCGTTCAACGCGCATCCTGTCAAAAAGGGTCAAAGAACACTATCCAGCGTGACTGCAGAAAGGAAGTAGTGGCCGTATAAGGAGTGCAATAATCGAACATCTCGTCAACACTGGTCATTCCATCTCAACAAACGCCTCCTTCAAAGTAATGTACAAAGTGAAGAACAACCTTCCAAAGACAATACGTTTCTGTCTTCTTTGCATCGCAGAAGAACCCGAACTATGCATATAAAAGAAAATTATTCAACCACTTCTACTCTCATGGTAACAACTCCGTTGATTTGACTTAACTTTTGTTTGTATGCTTATTTTTCTAACTACTTAAAACCCTTGCGTAATTCCGTATGTTATTTTGTTTCCATTTACAACCTGAGCACAACTCTTTCATCAAACTATTCACGTTATTACGCAACTCTTCCTTAACAATCATTTGTGACAACTCATCACTTTTGTTACTACCCTCTTATGTCAACCAACATCCAATTCATCTGAACTTACTGATTGTATTTTTGTTTGATAAATTTAATGTACACACATACAAAACAACCATATATATATGCGATTTTACAGCTATGAAAGTGAATTTGCCGAAAAGAGACTCTTCTCTGAACTACTGGTCTTCTGTGAATTCATGCTTTGCTCTATGACCTTTGAGGCTTGTTTTTGTTGGTGGATTCTTGTTCACTGGTATTTCTCAGCTGGTTACATGATTGTCGATTGAAGTACCTTTTAAAGGGATTACTTCAGCATTTCCTCATCTGATTGGTCATTGGATTTACTTAACTATCCTTCACTTGCTTCATCTGTGCTGTTTTCTTTCCGGATGGGAATCTGTTTATTTGATTCTGTGTTGAGAAGTCTTTTTTACCTTCATCCCGTTCTACTTCGGTTACCGGTGCGTCGTGAGAACGTCGGTTTGTTTTTCCTAGTACTCTGCTTCACTACTTTGTTAAGTGCTTTTTAAGTTATACTTATCTTTTTTCAACATTTATCTTCTGCTTCATCATCCTTCTATCTTCAGTCACCTTCTTGAGGTGACCATCTTGAGGTATACTTTGTCCTGCTTAAGTTGCCTATGCAGATTTTCTTGCACACTGCTTTCACGGAGTTCTAGTGACTAAAACGCATTATCTTCAGATTTAGAATTCGGCTTTGTGGCTATTTGATTGGTTCCAAGCAACATTTTACTTCTGTCGCTACACTGCAAACCAATTGTGAAGCTAAAATTCACAAATTTTCCTGTAATTACCTGTGCTTCCTGCCAATGCATTGTACTTTTCAATAGTTCCCTCATTTATTTTCATCCGTGATGAACTTTACCTTGAAATCAATCAAATTTCCACAAACTCAGAATTTAAAATTAAAACTGATAAATCTCATTAATTTTATGAGAAGAAAATAATTTGTTCCAAAGGCTTTAAATTTCACGTCAATTTCATATTTTCAGGTGGTTTAAATACTTTTACGTCACCGGTGTATGTTTTACTTGTTGTGCCCTACTAATTGAACTTTTTGTGATATGTAAGTCAACTAGATTTGTTTCTTGCTACAACTTTAATCTGTCGTATATTTTTTTCTGTAGTTGGTTTTGTTTTTACAAGTTGATCACAGATTGATATCAGTTAGAGAACCACTGAAAACCAGGGAGTACTTGACAGCTGTTTCGTCCTAGTTTGGGAATCATCAGCAGTACGCACCCACTGGGTGAGGATGGGTGTCCCACCGACGACATTGGATCGGGTCGCGTTAAATCACGAATTGTTAGAAGTTAGAATTCATGGTTCATTGAATTGGGTCCCAGTGGCTGAATGGTATACGAGCTTGCCTTGTAACCGGGAGCTCCTGGGTTCGAACCCTGGCAGTGGGTGTGTACCGCTGATGATTCCCAAACAAAGCTGATGAAACAGTTGTCTGGCAGTACTCCCTGTGGTTCTCTAACTGATATCAATCGGAGATCAACTCATATTTTTATTTAATTGTTTTGTTTCATCGTGGTTTAGTTTTAATGTGTTGTTATGTAGTGAATTTATTTATCTTGGAAGTATATGACTAGTCTGCTTAGGCAGTCGACTGACTCATTTTCAATATTAGGTCGTTCATTATATATATATATATATATATATATATATATATATATATATATATATATATATATATAACAATGCATTATGACGGAAAGGCCGTTTTCGGCGAATTCATTTCCCTTATCTGTACAATCGTATTCATATACAATGTATTTCACAAAATAAAGATAATAATACGAGGGGCGATTTGTCATAATCATAGTTACTAATATTAATCAAGTCGATAGAAAACATTATGGTAATTATTAGGATGATAGAAGTGAATTAGTTCTCTTGTATATACAGAACTTTGGTTTCTCTACATGAGATTTGCTAGAATTTCAGAAATTTGAGAAGAGATTTTTGATCCTAAGTTTGAGGGCAGCTTTCACTTCTCATTATATTCGGAGCGTGGTAATATCAAACCGCAAGAGAAGACGAAAATGCAATGTTCCTCGAAAAATATACTTTTTTTGTGATTAGCCGAGTAGTTTGATATTTGAGCGTTTGTCAGCATCAAGTAAACACTAACTGCTCTTATTTCATTTTGATTTTCAGGCAGGTACGTTTTGAAGTGATATATACTGTTATGTGTTTCGTGTTTTGAAAGAAAAATAAAAACTGCCACAATTTCTTCTCACCACTCACTTAGTGTTGTTTTTCTTACTGATTTCAGCCTCTCATAAAACTATTGTCTGTGTGTTAACCCTATACTTAATACATGTTTCACGTCGATTGTATGAATGTACACATGTTTCTATATTCAGTAATTCTCTAATGAGTTTTATGCAATTCTTGGTTGGAATCGCCTTCTATATCGCTGCTCCTATAGGAATTTCACTTTCACGAAGTCATGCAGGTAATCCAAACACAGGGTTTGTTTTCGATTGGTGAAAAAAAATATAAGTATCTTTTCGTAAATTTAATGATTTTATTGCTCGGCAATTCACATTTTTAAAATGAGATTTGAATAGTAAACCGGCTGATGTTTAATACGTACAGACATATATAATGAATGGGATTGTGACAAGCTGCCCTCTGAAACTGTTAATGTGAATACTCAGCTATCTTTTTTCAGTGTTCTGTTGCTTGTTTTTCAACATACTATCACACTATCCTATCATTATATTCTGTAAGTCTTAAGTTCCATAAATCTACAGTCTGTATAATCATATACTTAATCCACCTAAACAGTTATCCAGGATTCGGGTGGTTTCAACTGATCTGGTTCTCTGAGCTGAGTTGAACTGGGCACACGACTGATGAGCGCAGTTGCAAACGAATGAAACGGTGTTCAGATCCCACTTTGATCTAGCTAGCAAGCAGTACTGGTTGGTATGACTGGTATCCAACTACTCATTTCAGTTCATCAGTAGTAGGATGATATGTCGTCATGCATTTATAATTATTCTCTTAATTGCCATTTATGGTATCAAGCAGATCTGTGATATCTGAATAATGTCGGTTTCCGAAGGGAAATTGTGATAAAATTTCATCTTAAACTGTTTACATTGTGAATTTGATTTACCATACAAACTTTATTTATGATTATTTCAATTAGACGTCTAAGTGTGTTGCTTAACATCTGATAAAAATTTCGCTTTGCTGTATTTTATATAAATTATAACGTACAATGTCAACGTGTCAAGAAGTAAAACTTTTCATTCAAATCAACCATATTATTATTATTATTAATATTAATAAAGCAACTCCATCTTACTAATCGATAAACTGTTTGTTTGTTTGTTTGTTTGTATGTAATAAATATCAGCAGAATTATGTAGTTTACTAACTGATTCGAATAAATAGTTTGTTTTGCTTAGTCATTTGCTGTTGACCTTGTGACTTTATATCTTACCGATTCATTATTTGGCGAAGTTCAACAATAGAGTCCCAAGATTGTAAATGTTCCAATGACCTAGTGAATGTTCCAATGACCCTGAACGCATGCTAGTTATTGGTTGAGGAAGCTCACTATTATTCTAGCGCGAATAATTGTGCATACTGGTAGGCGACACTGAATTAATTGTCTTCTAGGAACTTCCTTTGAAAAGTTGAAACTGTCTTTGATGATTGGTTGTCATTGGTGTCGAAAGTTTAACTTTGCGTGAATATCTTGTTTCTGTCCACTTACTGGGTGCCAGAGCGAATAACGTTTGGGTTTTAGGAATTTATGATACCTAGATTCGCAAAGGGTTTATGGAGCTGATTCTAGATAGGAGTGCTCATACACTCCTCCTCCCTATTATTCAGCGTCTAGTGTTACCAGGCACCATCATTCACACAGATGAATGAGCGGGATATAGCCAAATATCACAATTGGGATATATACATCATAGAGTGAACCATTCGAATGATTCCGTCGACCCTGTCACCGGTACTCATAATAATTCCATCGAAGGTTTCTGGGGAAGATTAAAAAATAGAATAAAAGCTATAAATGGTTTTCAAAACCAAGTTATTTTTAGTCATCTGGATGAATACATGTATAGAAATTGGTTCAACTTAAAAACTGAAACCCCAATACAAAATTGGGAGATATTTTTATCTCATAGTAGAGAAAAATATCCTGTTTAACGTTTTTTATGCTTTTTTATGTAAATATACGTAAGATTTTATGCAAAAATCATCCTTTTTTCTGACTGGTCGGCTCAAGGTCACTTGTGCGTTCGTTCCTTGGGACTCTATTGTAGAACTTTGCCCATTATTTATTACCTTTCAGTTGAACGATCAAATTTGGTCATTGTATTATTCAGTCTACACATACTGATACTTCAGTTTTTACAAGATTTGGTCCTCCAGCAATTGGCTGCTTTGCGTACAAATAAAAATGAAAACACAGGTGGGATTTATTGTATTTTATTCGTAAATACTCATATAGAGTATCATTTTATTCCTAAATTGAACATTTTGTGAACGCGTTTAGCAATGAATGTCAGTAATCAGTCTTAACATTTATCCATTTTATCTTTTGAAATATATATATATATATATATATATGAAACAGCAAACTGGTTTCATTGGAACTGGTTTCAAACATTGGAAGAACAGAAAGAAGGGCCTACATCAGATTCTTCGAATATGTAACAAGGAGTTTCCGGTTAAAGAGGCCAAGTAGTTTAGGCTCTTCGGTCACCAAACACCTGATAGACACTGGACACCGAGTAGATGCGCTGGCATCATTCAGAATATTTAACAGACAAAACAGCTGAAGCTATCGTAATAAAGCATCTCAAACCTATCCAAAAGAAATCTGTCGTTGGACTTCAATTACACCCTGGTGACTCATCCCTTAATAACTCTTGGTCTTTTAACCTCGTTAACTTATCTTTTCAACACCCTCCCCCTTGCCTCGTTTCTTCTCTTTAACCTCCATAAAAGATCATTTTTCTTGACCTTATGAGTTCCACTCACTATAATGCATCATCACCTTTTCATCTGACCTCTTACACACCAAAGTTTGACCATTTCTTATCTAATTATATAGTTGTTACTAATTTTTTGTTACCACTCTAACAACAAACTTGACAATTAATTTTCTATAAACTTCTCTCTAACAAGATATATATATACTTGCACTTCAGCTACCTTGTTATCCTGATGTTTTACCTCACTTATTATATGCTTTTTGATGACAAAAATTATAGGTTGTATGCAGATGATGAGACCCAGCGAAATAAAATAGATCCATGTTATTCTGCGTGCGTCGGTGGCACAGTGGTTAGGACGCTCGCCGACCATGCACATGGTCCGGGGTTCGATCCCCGGCCGACGCACTCCTTTACCTCACTAAGCCGGTAGTAGGGTCGGCAAAGAGGGAAGGTTGGTTATAGGGCTAACAACCCCATCCCGTAAAAGTAAACACCACTGCTGCCGAAACTTCAAGCCTCCAGCTTGAAACCCTATGTTCCACTGGGAACGAAAAAAGAAGTTTTTTTAATGTTATTCTGCACCAGTGTTTGTTCTTTTTTTTTTGCTCAAACTGGTTTCTGTTTCGTAGTCAGAAGATGCTTTCGGCTACTGGATAAAAATGTCTTCTATCTTGGAGAAAATATAAGGCAGTTCAGCGGAGAAAACTTGTTATTGACAAAATCATCTTCAGAGGTGTCGTGCAGTCGTATTTATGTTTACTGCAAACGTATATCTCCTATCTGTCATTTTCCGTCGATTGATTGGACTGAAGTGCTCGGTCTCAGGTTGACATGTCGGCTCCTTGTGCAGATGCTTCGACGATGTCTGATCATGTAACTTGAAGTCAATTGGTGGCTGGTGACTAGCAGTGGAATCCGGAATACACATTTCGTCCTATTTGGGAATGCAGGTACATCCAGATGACGAGTCCCAAATAGGACAAAATAGGCATCCTGCATTCCACTGCTAGTCGCCATCCACCAATTGAATGTGTTTAAGTGTTTCGATAGGAATTGAGTTGTTCAGTCTATTAAAACAAAGTCTACTACACTTTATTAATATGTTTAACATTCGCAGATTTCAATAATTCGAAAGCATTCGTTTAGACGATTCCAAGACAACTGAATTCGTAAAGAAATATATTCTCTCTTAGAATAGTTCTTTATGAATGGCTCTGCAATATCTAGTTTCTTAAAAAAACATCAGAATTGTATTAGCCAAATTGTGGTATATTAGTTAAAAAGAGGTCATTATTTTTCCAGTGTGTTTAAAAAGTGTCACATGTAATTACTAAAATCAAGTGAACATTTAAAGGATAAAACCATTCAGTGTAATTATAAAGTTAATGTGTAGAGAATAACAACCTAATCGGTAGTGTTTAAAATAAGGATAATTCAGGAAAGTGAATGTATGAGTCTTGTTAAGTTGTCAATTGTTAATAATTACATAAGAATGTGTAATGATAAAGAGGCTAATTGAATTGACCAATTCAACAATTCAGAGTGCACTGTAATCGTGAGCCCCCTAGAGTGGTGGCCGTATTGCAAACTTGACTGATAGGTTTCAGTCTGCACGAAACAAAGGACTAGACACATTATACCAGTTACTAATTAGTGTCCTTTCGAAGTATCCAATACAGTCCTACAGGAGGTCAATCGTGAGCCCGACTGGCTCATTGGTAGCGTCTCTGACTGCAGCTATGGGGGACGCAGGTTCGAATCTCAGAAGGGACATGAGTTCCTCAAGGTTACAGATCCGCCTTTCTGGAGAAAGCCAACTGACACGAAACATAGGTGGAAGTCTTCCTGCCGACTGCCTCCAGCCATCTAATATCAACACTTTAAGATTGTTAATATTCTCCAGATAGATTTCGTTTGAAAACTATAACTGTTTGCTTAAAGCTTTTTAAATAATTTTATAATTTTATTTCTCTTAATTCCCTTTGTATTTCAGAGAAGGTAATTGAAAAAAAGTATTATCCACCCGAAGGGAGTATGTTTCATTGGGTATCATGTCCGCATTATCTACTAGAAATATCTCTTTATTTGTCATGGCAAGTTTTTCTTACATCAAAGTGGATACCATTTTCACATATTTTATTTTTTACAACATTCAGTCAATTATTTTCTATTTGGGCTAATCATAACTGGTTGAAAAAGAATTTTCCCGAATGGACATCAAAACGTGCTATGCTGATCCCATATGTTTTGTGAATATATGAATTATTCTCCATTTTCTTTGACGTATGAAACACTCCACTGTTGAAATTTTCCTTTGATTATGTATGATTCCTTACACTGTACAAAGAAAAAAAGAAACTGCTGCATATCATTACTGATACAGTTAAAGACTAATTTTTAATCGTTAAATATTTTTTTGTATTTGTTTCAACTTTTCGCATACATATTTTACTTTTAGGACCTGTAGTTTTTGTGTTGATAGATTCCTGTAAAGTGCCTTGAAATAGTTTGTTAATTTAGTTCATTTTCTTACTCTTAAAAGCAGTTACTGGTCATATATATTTTCGTAAATGTAATAAAAAAGTATAATTCCACTACACATAAATATTTCATATTTTGTTATTTTCTCAGGTTGAGTTGTGTCCTACTCACTGCCTTCACGTGGCGGAGGTGTTTTTCACCAAAGTGAGAGGGCGAAAGCGGATGCCCGGCGCTCTTCACCGGGTTGACTGTCCATTGGATGACAGTCTAGGGGAGATGGCTAAACCCTGATTCCAAACCTCCAACGAACTGGCGTATGAAGCTCACTGGAGCTCACCGGCAGACGTATGGAAAAAGGGCTTGTTGGATTTCCTGGATGTCTGGCCCCATTCAAAAAGACGTATGAACCGAACTCCGGTCACCGGCTGGCAATGGATAGTGGACTCCCTACTCCACTCCTACTGCCTTGTAGGTCACACTTGGTTGTGTAAAGGCTAGAGCTGCACTCTCAAACAAAAGGCCGAGCGATTCTGGGGACATCACTCGTACCAAATTCCCATAAAACTTCATGAACTCTATTCGAGATGTTCATGAAGCTGGCTCATCCTCCCGTAGGAGATAGCCGAAGTAAAGAGAAGAAGAAGAGTTGTGTTATTTCTTGGTTCTAATGTAATGTTTCTCATATAGTTTCTGGTGAAAAAAAATTCCTACTATCCAATTGGAAATTAAAAGTGTGCTTGTATGCTGGTGACAGATTCTTGAACATAGACGTACTTACGGGCGTTCAGCAATTGTTATATTTCTTGACTTCAAGGTGGCATTCGATTCTGTCGACCGATGGTGATGTTAAGCTGTGAGTGGAATGCCGAAAAAATACATGGCAATGATCAAGGCATTCTACTCGAAATCACGCAGCCAGGTGAGAGCCTACAGATAGTTGTCATCTGAAGTGGTGACAACCAATAATGTCTCTCTGGCATGCCCACTGCCCCCATTTCTGTTTAATTTCATCACAGATGTACTAATGGACTTAACCCTAACTGACTTCAGTGATTTAGTGATTGACTTGTTAACAGGGAATAATAGTTTCGTTTACTTAGAATATGCAGATGGTATAGTCCTCCTTCCTAGGTGAAGACGCTGACACAATGCAAAGACTTCTGAATGCCTTGAGTAGCAGTCTTCGAATATCTGGCATGCGATTCGCTCCCATAAAATGTAAAATGATGCTACACGAATAGACTACATTGACTCCTAGCTTTAAGATAGGGAGTGAAGTGGTGGAGCGCGTTCACCACTTATTTGGAGAGTTAAAACGGCCCCAACGGCTTGATCTCGACACGAATACAGAAGGCTCCTTTGGCATATGTGAACTCATGCCATCTCTGGCTTAGACGTGATATCCAGTTGTCAGTTGTACTGCCCAGCAGTCCTCCGTAATGGCTGTGAGATATGGTCATTGAAAGGGGAGGACATGAAAAGCCTGGCTAGCTGTATTTGATCGTAGGTGTCTGTGTTCTATCGCCTGTGCTAAGTGATATAATAAGGTCTGCAATATTGGGCTCAGTCATCGGTCGAGTGCTATGTAGGGAGGGGAAATCGATCGATCAGGTTGTGAAGTCACACTGATTGAGATGACTAGAACATGTGTTATGCATCCCTAGGCATCGCCTTCCTTGGCGGGAAATATTAACTAATATGGGATAAGAGTGGAAAAGATCTAGTGGGAATCAAACCAAAGCATAGCTTCATCAGTCAATGAAATCCACAACAGCTAGTTCGAGCCACTTAGGGAGGTGTAGACTTCCTGGTTGGGGTCCTAGGGATGGTAAAATCCAGTTGCTGGTGATATGCCCCAAAATCGCTGTCACCGGCTATGTAAGATGATGCTGGAGGACTGATTGGCTCCGAATCCTAGTTCAAAGATATTGAAAGAATGGTTTGGGATGTTTACTTGTTTGCGAATTCGTATCAGCCTTAATGAACGTTTTGGCGACGAAATCTTAGCACGGATAAAAAATAAGGCTAGTGTGGCATTCGCCAACATACGTAATCTCTGTTGTGGATGTGTTACCTGCCTATCGATCAGTGAACATGTATACTGCACAATAGCTGCGTTCTTTTCCTCTTGTTAAGTGATATTGTATGGTGAGTAATATTGAGGCTAGGTGAGGAGGGCATATCAATCAGTAGAGTTGTGAAGGTGCATAAATGAGGTAGCTAGAACACATCCTGTGCATGTTATGTTACCACCTTCCTGGATAAGCAATGTTACCTGACATAGGAATAGTTTGGAAAATGGTTAGGAGTTGGTCTGATAAAAAACTGGCAACAATTCATGAAGACTCTGACCGTTGGTCTGAGCCACGTAGGGAGGTGTAGACTACCTGTCTGGTTTTTGCGAGACTCTAAGAGTAGACGGTTTGGAGATGTTAGTGACATGGCTCAGCTGTATTCACTCTTTGTATTCTCTCGGATACGTTGAGTCCGCATGGTTATCGATGTATTTATACTACCTCCTGTTCTTTCGGGTTCCTATCTGTCTCAACCTTTGTGTGCCATAAAGAGAAGTGGAATTTGAACTGCTGCGCCTCTGTACAAAGTTCTGCGCTTAAAACTCAGCGAATGCTTCAAGGATTGATACATCACATGATAGTGGAAACATGTCCAAGTGACTGGTAGTGATGCAATCTGAACATGTGACGTTGAAGGTTTAGAATAAAGTTTCAATGCTACACAAATAAGAAATCTACTATTATAATATCTGAAGGGTGTATTCCACTCTGAACTTGTCAGAGAAGTATTAACCAGCTATTTAAGATCAGTAGCACGAAATCGAACTGGTCGTTGAAGTTGTATGATCATAAAAAGTGGTTTTGATTATGAACCTCGCGCTACACTCCTCATGTATGGATTTTTTCCACAGATCCTAGCAACCTGCACAGGATAGTTTTTAAAAACCTTTAGAGTGCATTTTAGAGTTACTCCGCGGCATATCTCCATCATTAATTGGGAGTGTCAATGGAGAGACTGTTATTGAATATTTTCACTACAAAAGTGTGCGCGCAAGTGACAAATAAGTTGGAAAATGTGTTTTGTCCTCATAGTAAGCTTCTGGAGGTCTTTTATGACTATCCATTTACCCACCATATACGCGCTGAAAACTATGTACGGTTAGTTCTTTCTAACTAAGCTGAAAATCGAAATAAATGTACACAAACTGACTGAAAGGAAACGTTAAGGCGAATAAGGATATACTTGAACTTAACTACAAATTAAATACCTTGAAGTTTCAATTAAACTACTTACAACGAATAGACTATGACTTAATTACGCTTGCTGAATGCATACAGTGAAGATAATCCATTGTAATCTGAGAAACAGGTAAACATGCTACCGCTATGAACTTGTAAACCTACTGTTAAAAACTCCGTAAACCGCTCTAAAATAGTATAAACCGCATAGAAGTGCAATGAAGACACTCAAAACGGTCTTTATTATCATCATCCTTTCCTTGCATTAGTAGTGGTATTAGGGCCTCTAAAGCATGCTTTCATTGCACTCACTTCTCTGCAATCACATTCAGTTGTCTCTAAGACTGCCCACAAGCCTTCACTTCCCCTTCATATTGTGGTGGTGTAATATAGACAATGTGTCCGACGGAATATTAATTCACATATTCCCACAGTTCAATACTGCATTAGCAACAGAATACTTTATGTATTTGAATACTGCATTTCATGACGTTTAATGTAAACCAAAATCACATGCTCAGTGATTGGTTAAAGAATATAAAACTATATATATATATATAGCGGTTTGTTAACTTGAAAATATACGTTGGCTTGAGTATCTCGCCTTTTGTTGTTACAGTGTGATATCCACGTCGAACTTTTCACTTCCTGTTGAAGGACGTAGTTTTCACCTGTAGGTCTTTGTGCAGCATGAGAGATAAATATTGGTAATGTTAGGAAACTTTTTCTTACTTCAGTCTTTACTTCGTACGCTACAGCGAGTTTTCCGACTCAAATCACTTGACAAGTGGCCTTATTGTGTAGCTGTTGAACCAAGTTTACAAATGTTTGCGACACTCCATAGTGCTGAAGCGCCTACCGAAATGCTTCAAAGTGGATGCTAATAATTGCTTTTTGAAAACTGGATGAAGTTGAAGTACAGAGTTGACTACAATCCTTGGGTCTGTTCGATGACCATGAGCAGTGTTTGAAATTGTCTGCATGTGACTAACTTAACTGAATCCAGCATGTTCCAGAGCCACAAGAAATAAGTAGGTTTTCATGAAAGATAGGCATAGTAACTGATTCTTTATGCATTGACGACACATTCAAAATTTACCAGTATTTTCCATACACTCCAGCCGGATCAATTACTACAGACTTCCCAACATCTTTAGGAAGAACCGGCAATAGGTTGTCAGAAATGGATGCCCTATGTTCTAGTACATGGAGGTAGATTCAGATGTACTGGACAGTAAGTGGATTGGAATTAAATGACCGTAATGCCCATTTCAAGTCACCGAAATAAACCTAGGCCAGAAATAAATGAATCAAACTGTGTTATGCCTATTGTAAGTTATGGTAAGTCAGGCAGTTTTCTTCTGTTTAACTGTGTGCTTGTCTGATTTCAAATTAGCTGCGTGACATGCATGGAGGATCTCCCAGGATGACCAATAGGAAGATTCTTTCTCTCATGCAATCGTAATATGATTGTCTGTAAGTATTATCCCTGACATTGAGCTGTCGTTCCTACTGGCA